ATTTAAATCTAAGCCTATTAGTTTATTGTAGGCCTATTTTATCCTACGTAAATTGATTTATTCTAGCTTTATAAAAACATTTTAAAACCTTAACCTTGTTTTAACTGTTATAACTTCAATGGCTCTAAAAAAAGTATTTAGTTGTTGACAAACAACTTGAAGACGGTACATGAAAAGTTAATTGAACTTAAAAGGTGTTTAAGCTAATTAAATGCTAATTAGTGGTTAGCTAAGCTGTAAGCTAACGTCACGTTAGCCACTTTTAACTCCTACAAAGAGCAGCGTTAAACAACACGCAGAAAATGTATCAACGCACTGAAGTCGTTTCCACGCCTTTAGCAGACAACAACTAGAGGTGGGTGTTGCTTGTCAGCTGCAAGTCAAGCCAGAAATTTGGCTTTCACTACGGCTTTAGTTGTGTCAGAGTAATGCTTACTCAGCGCGGCGCTGCGGTGAGGAGGGGAGACTTCACTGTCAAGTAAAGTTTTTCTTTCTTTCTTTTTTTTTGTTTTGTTTTCTCTCGGGCGCTCAGGAGCTTCTTTCTTTCCGATGACCTCCTTTATCTCAGCCTGGATTTGGAGTGAGAGGTTCTGGCTCCCAGAGAATGTGTCATGGGCTGACCTGGAGCATCCACCAGCCGGAGTGGAGTACCCCAAACTGGGGCACGTCATGCTGTACGCTCTGCCTCTGGCTGTGGGGCTTTTACTGCTCAGACGGCTGTTTGAGAGGTGAGACTTCAGCTCGTTGTTGTTAAGTTTGAGGTAGTTTTGTCCTTCATTTCTGTCTCTTGTCAGTTCTGCTACGGAAACCCATAGCTGGGAGCCCTAATGTAAAAAAAAAAAAAAAAAACCCACAAGATTTTTAGGAAATGAGTCAGCATAGAGTGTCTTAAATTACAGAGAAACAAAACGCCTGTAGACTTATTTTCAGCATGTCACAGCTAAATACATCATTTTTTTTATTAAGTAGCACGAGGGTATAATGTTACATTTGTTTTCATTAATTGGTGACTTCCTTGAACTTTGCTCTGCTAGGATTTTATTTTTAGATGTTGCTTGAGGAAAGACAGAAATGTCATCATTCCTGATGTGATCACAGGAAGCAGTGTGTAGGAGCTGTTAAAACACTCAAACTCAACTCCATAAAAAGTCAACATTTTGAAGCAAATAGTCATCGTCACCAGTGGTCATATAACTTTGTGTTTTGCAAGGCGAAAGCCGCCCTCTGTTTCTGTTTGGAAGTAGCAGAAACTTTTTCTAAATAATCCCGTTGTAGATCCAACAGCGTTTTAGAAACAGTGGTCAGCTCAAACAGATGATCTTGTGACACACTTTAGGATTTTGGACCGAATCGTTCAATCCAACTGTTTCCCATGCCATCACATGACAGGTCATCACACTTTTGTTTAGACTAGGTGCTACATTCTCCAGGGTTTTTACCACTTTAACGTGTCCCCACTCAAGCTTCTGCTGTGCTCTCTTTGTCTCATTTAGCTCTAATGAGCATGGCTTTATGAGCACACTAATGGAAGTTAATATGGTATTAAATTTTCTCTTTGTTCATCTAAATGTTTATACCGAACCATCTTCATGTTCCCACCCCTTTTTATTTGCTCCTCTGTGTGTGTGTGTCTGTGTACACAGGCTAGTGGCCAAGCCCTGTGCCCACATACTTCAGATTCAGGAGGGAGTGCCTCGACGAGCTCAGTCTAATGCTGTCCTGGAGAGGCTCTATCAGTCCAACGCAGTACGTAAAAAACAAACAAACAACAACAACAAAAAAAGCAGTGTTTGCTCTGGAATTCACTCCTTGTTCGTGTACACACTGCACAAGATTGTGCACACAAAGGCACACACCAGCCCGGGCGTTAATGATGTGTTCAGTGACCAAAATACATGTTTTGGATCTTGTGGTTTTTACAAACGGTGGAAGAAAAAGAGTCATTTAATAATAGTCCTGTTCTGTCCTCCCCAGTGTCCAGACAGGAGGCAGCTGGAGGGGCTCACCAAGCAACTGGACTGGGATGAAAGAAAAATCCAGAGGTGGTTTCGGGTCCGTCGGAACCAGGACAGGCCCAGCATGCAGACAAAGTTCTGTGAGAGCATGTAAGCTGCTGCATGGTTTCTAATATATTGTGAGGTTTACACCTAAAATTGGCTGAATATTACCAACACAGCAGTGTGCGTAAACAACTTCAGAGTAAGTCCTCCAATAGCTTTGCTGCTGCCTGGCTCTCGAGTGGATTACATTTTTCTAAACACATTTTCTGTGGCAACAGCTGTGCCGTAAAAAACCACACTGAAGTGATTAAACAGCAGCAAATTAACTGCAGAGGGATGACTCAAAGTTGGGCTGTAATTCCTTTACATTAGTCACTCCTTATTTAAAAAAATGTACAAAGAACAGTAATAGCAAATATTATGTAAATTTACAGTTTTAATTTGTGTTGACAAAGCTGGTGCTTCATATTCTGCCTCTAATGTGACTGTCACATCCCCATTTTTAGGATATCCAAACAATGTATGTTTTAAAATAATTATAAACAGAAAGAAATTCACAATTAAAATTATAGAGTTTATTATTTTTTTTATTTATTCTTTTCAGTTTCCCTTGTTTTTGCTTGTTTGTTTGTTTTTAAGCCAGGGGTTTTAAAACTTATTTAAACAAGGCTTTGTTCTAAAGCAGGGGTGCCCAACCTTTTTTGAACCAAGAGCTACTTTTGAAGTCAGCAGTTTGCCGAGATCTACTCGTCCAGTCTCAGTATCAAAAAACATGTTTTTTCATCTCCCTACTCCTCACTTCTTTAAAATAAATAAAACAGAAAGTAATGTGTTGCTAGTTTTATTTAATTTAAAGTATTGTCAAACAAAACTATCTACTTAAACATATATTTACCTACAAAAAAAGGAAAAGATAAAATCCTTACTTAACTCCTGACAGAGAAACAGAAAAGTGATGCTCGATCAAAAAGGATAAATTTCTTTGCCTCCTTCAATTGGTACTCCCTGTAATGTGCGAGCTATGAGGGCTGGAAACCTGTCCAGTGCGAAAACCACAGAGTCAAATAACTTTGGAGCACGGGAACTCGTCTCCATTTATTCAAAGAACTCTCCTCTCTTTCTCTCCATACAGGGGAGGAAAAACAAAACAAAAAACTAAAGTCAAAGCTCACAATATAAAACTCTCTCATTTATACTATTACAAAAAGTGACTKACGATGGTGCAGATTCACATACCTCCAACAACTATTTCAAACCTCATTCTGCAGCATGCAGGATGGTGTCATCTGTAGGTGTTAAAAAGCTCAGTCCCTCACTGGTCCAGACTGCCGGCTCCAGACCATTCAAAGAGTTACACCTGGTTCACCACCTATAAACAAGACACACACACAGCCACGCTAGGTACGGAAAACAAGGGCACACCCAAACTGCAAAATAAATAAATACTGTAAATAACACAAAGGTGTCAGTCAGTGTATAAGACACTAGTCTGGTCTAAAATGTAATAAAAAACAACATACAGACACATTATGACAAGTCTAGAGGAGACAACTTTTTATGCAAGCTATATAAAAATAATGTATAACTAAAGTAAAAAATGGATGTCTACCTTAGTGGGACTTCTGACACTGAGAGGAGGCCAGGGTCTCATAGGCAGGCAGTATGAGGTGGTTGAGGTGTAAGCAGGTCTCCAGATGATCACCAGTCATTGTGGATCAGTTTTTGGACTTGATTTTCATGTGAGAGAAAGCAGACTCCAGAACTCTCCATCCGTGCGACTTGTTGCTCTGGATTTGATCCCAATGTCATTTTGCTGAGTCAAAACCTAATTTTCAACCCAGAGCAGTCCAGACTGAAATACGGACACGAATTTGGACACATCCATCCATCCTGGTGGACAACTGCACGTCTTTATAGCAGCCACAATCTCACTTTTATTTTTAAAATCACGGAAAAGCACGTCTGCAGCATCAAACGCTTCTTTCATAACTTCGTCATCGCTGAAAGACGTGTGTTGAGACAGGTACGGGGCTGCATTAGCATAGCAGCCTTACCTTAGGAGGGGAAATCCGCCTCGTAGCGTCTGTGCATTCTTTTGAAAGAAATGCAGTTTCACGTTATCCTTTTTGGACAAGCCAAGGCGGTGCTCGAATTACACATGAGTCCTCTTCCCACTCCAGGTGAAAATAATGTTTTATTTACTTGTTAGCTGTCTTTCATTCATCATTTTTTTCCGCCTCCCTGCCATGTTTTAACACATGACCCTAATCTCGCAAGACCATGTTCGGAGTGCTGTTTTACAGCACCCAAAACTAGCGAGACTGGAGCGCGTTCAAGAATGTAATGTTAAAAAAAAACGTTGCAAAGAGTGCATTTAAGGCTGCAATGTTAAACAATGTTGCATTCTACAAGCTCCGTGATCCATTGCTCCGTGAGCTACTGCTAACCAGCTAAAGATCTACCGGTAGATCCCGATCTACTGGTTGGCCTGGCCTGTTCTAAAGGCTTTGGATATAAATAAGCCAAACGGTTTAAATGATCAAGTACTTATTATAATAGGTTTTATAGTGTAGTAGTATTGATGCATAAATAAAAATTCTATTCATACAGAAAAAAGTATTTACTAGAGGTAGACTTAATGATTTGTTGGCCAATAAATTAAACCGATTCTTGCTACTTTTTCTAAATAATCAGCACAATGAAAGTCAGGCACATCTTTAGGCAGCACACTTTTTCCTAGGTCCTTTTCAGGGATGCCTCTTCATGACAGGGGTGCGGTTTTTAGTACAACACGAACAAACTGCTCTGTGCTGAAATGCTGAGCTGTATTGTGGTACTTTTAAAAAGAACTTTGTTTTATTTTAGGGTAAAAAGCAAAGCTTTAACTTTATACTTTATAGGTGTCTGTTTAAAATGAAAATGTTATTTTTTTAGAGAAAATGCCTCCATTTATTGCAAACCTTTAATACAGTATAAGATCTAGAACAATTTGTTGTTTGCTGACCAAAATCAAACAAAAAAATTGGTTTCATAAATCACTCATTGGTTGCCCTGATTGTAAAGCAGTCACCAGAAAACCCTATTAAACAGATTTCAAGTCAAATGTCTTTTCAAACAAGGTCCAAATCATTTAGCTCTGAATTCTTTGTGGCTTTAATTACTATAATGTTGCATCATCACAATGTTAACACATCCTTATAGAAGATGTGTATAAAATTGAAATTTCAATTAGTGTTAGTTTGCCCTCCTTGGGAATTGTTTGCATTGTTATTGACATTATGTGATGTTTTTAGTTCACATTGTGTGATTCTATCCCTGCAGGTGGAGATTCACCTTTTACTTGGTGATTTTTATTTACTCCATTGGCTATTTGTGGGTGGTAAGATCAACTATTTACAGTTCTATGTTTTCAAACGGTGATATTGTTAAATGCCTTCATACCTTTCCTTACATTTTTTATTTTATTTTGCCCATTAGTCACCTTGGATGTGGGATGTTCGACAGTGTTGGCACAACTATCCATTCCAGGTAAATATTTGTTTTGATTTACTGTAATTGGATACGTATCATGTTCTGCAGTGTATTTTCTGATGTCACTCTTTATTAGTAAGACGACATATTTGTCAAAGGTGTGTTTGCTTTTTCTCTCCCCCACACAAAGCCTCTGAGTCCTGGACAATATACTCACTATGTTGCTGAGCTGGCTTTTTACTGGTCCCTGATGTTTTCCCAGTTTACAGATATTAAACGGAAGGTGAGTCACCAACTTTTTTAAACCAGCAATTATTGTGCTTCCTTTCATTAACCTGACCAAACTTGTACTTCCCGTTGTTCCAGAGCCCCAGTTTTTCATGCTTGGCTTGTTTTATTTTAATCCCTTCTACTCCTAAACTAAAGTATGGATTAGGGGTGTCACAGTATTACCGTCTTATGCTGACCGACTGGTTACTGGTAGTTCTATGGAAATGAGTCAGACAAGAAGCTGCTCTGACACAACATGTGGATACTTGCTTAGAAAAAGAAAATGTGGAAAATGACACATTCTGTGGAAATTGTAGACTTTAAAAAATGTTTGATCCTTCCTTAAGCAGAGATGTCCCTGTAAGTGAATACAATAAAAAGTACCCTCTTAAAACATCCAGTCAAAAAAAAAAAAAAAAAAAAAAACCCTCAGTAATTCCTAACTGGAAATAAATAACTTTATTTAGAGATTTTCAACTATTGTCCACTTGCTATCTTTAAAACAAGTGGTTTCCAAACTTTCACCTTCTGACCCACTAAATATTCATGGCAGAGGCTTGCGACCCCAAATATTACTGGTCTGAGTATACAAACTTTAATAACCCTATTAAACATGGGCTTTTTGACGATCCAAACAGCTTTTACAGCGATAATATTTTTATTTTTATGGTTTAATTTATGTATTTTTATCATAATTATAGAAAAAATATTACATCACCAATTTTTTTTCACGTTATTTGTGGAGATTATCCAAGGACCCTAACTTGATGCTTTATGACCAGATTCTTCAAAAATAAACTTGTATAGAGTTCCTTAAGTTGAAAAGTATTTTGCATGTGCTGCCTTTTTGGTTTTTCAATACACATACTATTTTTGGGACATTCTTTGTTGTGTTGCATTGGGTGATTGTCTTGTTAAAATGAAAATAAAACACAACAAACTAGACAATTTATTAAAGAAGCTTCTTTTCTTTATTGGTTTCAATAAGATATGTGTGACTGGTAGTGCAGATTGTACGAGTATCATCTTTAAAATAAATAAATAAACGAATAAAGAAGGATATATTTGTGCTAAGATTGACTACGGAGCTTAAATGAAGATAGAAAGTTGCACAAGCGTCTCAATATAATTGAGCAACACTTTGCACTTTCTACAGAACTTGCAGTTTTTTTAAAACCGTTTTCACTTTAGGTTGGCAAATCAAGAAGTGCAGATTATTAGTCAGGAGGAAGTGAGTGCAGTTTTGGAGAGTGGGTAAGTGTAGATGTCAGATTGTCCAACTTAACAGTAGAAGTGTATTCGTACAGATTTTCAGGAAAAAGGGGAGTGCTCTGAAATGCAGTAGCTATGGTGAGATAACGCTGATGAACCGTGAAGATAGGGGAAAGAGTTGCTGAAGCCAAGTCAAGCCAATTAGTGAGCAGAAGTGTGGTTTCAGGCCAAGAAAGTATTTGTGAATCTAGAAATATTATATGGTCAGATGCCAAGAGAAGAATTATGAGGAAGTCAAGTGTAGTGAAGATGTTTGTGAGGGTGGTGCAGGCATGACCCCAAGCAAAAAAAAAAAAAAAAAAAAAAAGATGGAATCCTCACACTAAGAGAATGTCCTTTTTCATTTTGTATAATTAAATCTCACATTTGAAGGATTTTTATTTTGTTAAACACCGAGATTTTAATGCACTACACATTCTTGTTTTTAACCTAAAGATCTAAGCTATTTTTGATGATCTAATTGTGAACTAACCTGTCTTTAACCCAGCCGGTCGAGACAGATGGTCGCCCATCCTGATCCTGGTTCTGCTGGAGGTTTCTTCCTGTTAAAAGGGAGCTTTTCCTCTCCACTGTTGCCCTGTGCTGCTCAGGATGGGACACTGTGACAAAGTGATTCAACACAATCTTCTGGATTCTTAAGGAGACAACATATGTTGTGACTTGGTGCTATATAAATAAACTGAATTGAACTATATGATTATGATCCGGAAGATGATGGATAAATATGGGCTGTGTTCATTATTCTTTGCCAAAATATCCTGAGACCAAGTAAAGGTCTGTATTTTGGTCCAGCTGAAGGTACTTGTATAGCTTTATTCTTTTCAAGTAAATATTTAAGTCTAAATCTGAATTTGTCTCCTGGTTTGTGTCATGCCTTCCAAAAAAACATGTTTCTTACACAACTACATATACAGTGTGGCATCAGGAGACAAGAAAAAAGGTTCAAGAAGAGTGGAAAGAAAAGGGAGTTGCTCAACTCCGAGACACAAAATCAAACCGTTGAAAGAACATCCTGAGTGGTGATTCCATAGTATTTACCAGAGGCTGCACACGTGTGGTGAGTTGAGCAGTAGGAGTGACTGATGAGTTCAAGGTGGTGTCTTTACAACAGGGATCAGCTCTGAGCACCTTCCTGTTCGCAGTGGTGATGGACAGGTGGCAGATGAACTCCTGTGTGTCCATCTGATGTTTGCAGAACACACTGTGATCTGCAATGAGAGTAGGGAGCAGGTGGAAGAGAGCCTGGAGAGGAGAGGAGAGGAATAGAAGTCTGAAAACCATAAAGAATTTCTGTGGCAGAGTGATGGGAAGATGGTGTGAGACTGCTACCGTCTGTCTGTCTGTCTGTCTGTCTGTCTGTCTGTCTGTCTGTCTGTCTGCGTCATCTTGCTTTCTTGTGTTGACAGGATTTCGTCATCATGTTTGTCCACCACCTGGCCACCATACTCCTCATCACTTTCTCTTACGGCAACAACATGATAAGAGCTGGCAGTCTGGTCATGTGTGTCCATGATGCATCAGATTTTTTCCTTGAGGTAAATTATATATATACTGTATGTATATCTATACAAATGTTTTAGTAAATGTGAAGAGAGCTTTGAATAACACACCTTTTAAAAATGTATGAACTTAGACGTCATTCACAGAAATACAGCATTTCTCACGGATCATATAATGAGAATGCATCAAGATTCAACATTTTTTTATATGTTCCTGTTTTGAATATATCGTCTCATTTATTTCCAAAGGCTGCAAAGCTGGCCAACTATGCCAAGTACCAGAAGCTGTGTGACGTCTTTTTTGTGGTATTCAGCGTGGTCTTTTTCCTCACTCGACTCGTCATCTTTCCTTTCTGGCAAGTATTGGAACAAAAACACTTCAGCCAAGTTGTTTCACGTTCAGACTTACTGAACATATGCCCTGTTTGTTGCAGGATTGTTTACAGCGTTCTGTTTGACAGCTGGGAGATCATCGGGCCGTATCGAGCGTGGTGGCTGTTAAATGGGCTGCTGCTGGTCCTGCAGGTTCTTCACATCATCTGGTTCTACCTAATCACCCGCATTGCAATCAAGGCTATCTTCAAGGGAAAGGTTTGTCTCTTTTCTTTTTATGTTTTATGCCTTATTCAGGCCATCATCTGTTACTTGTTCAGCTTATAAAACATCTTTGAGCACCGTGGCCTATGATCATACTGTAAATCCATGGTTGAGGTTTCAGCAGGACTGATGGCTCTTTTTCACACTGTTGGAACAATGATGAAAACTGATGGCTGTTTTAGAGTGCAGGCCCAATTATAGCCCACTATTCTGCATGTTTCTCTTGTTTCTCTCCTCCATCACACTTGATTCAATGTCTGAATTACACCTTCAAGTTCTGCAGATGCCTGTTAGTCACCTATTAATTTAAATCAAATGTGTTGGAGCAGGGAAGCCTCCATAACTCGCAGAATAGTGAGGATCAAGTTTGGACACCCGCGGCCTACATTTTTACCTCTATACGTATCGTTTTAACAGTAAAACAAGAATTTCTCATTTCACACAACGTAGGTCTTTAAAACAACAGAACTGCCGTGTTTTTGCCCAAGAGAACTCCAAATTATAAAGGCTGAGCTGCCCTGTTAGAAGTTGAGTGGGATTTTCCTAGAAAACTAAAAGTTCCTCTTCGTTTATGTCACTTGTTTATCACGTTTGCCACATCGACTCCTGCAGACGTGTCTTATTGTTCGCATATTTGCAATATGCGTCATGGAAAGTAACAAAGTGAGAAGTAGCAGTAGCTCGAGACACGGTTTTGGTGAATTTTGTTTGGTGATTTTCTGTCATCCTCATCTTTCTACAAACCTTTTGATTTAAAAAAATGTCTAAATTTAAGGCAGTTAAATTACTGACTGAGCTGTGACTGTTGGAGACTCAAAATTGCATGAAAAACTTTTGCATTCTTACTAAATTTTCAATGTTTGCACCCAGTGAGCCACAATACTCTGTTTTCAAAAGAATTGCAACCTATTTTTTTTGTGTTGACAATTAGTAAATCTGTATTCCAGACCAGGGGTTCCCAAACCTTTCCATGCCATGGCCCCCCTAACAGCATTAGCTTCTGGCTGGGGAGCCCATTGCAAACCCATAAACAATGCTACACAATTCGTAAAAAAATAAAATAAATAAAAAACGAAAAAGAACCTTTAACTTATAGAATGTTTTTTCTCACTTTTATTCACCATTTAATAATTATTGCATTTATTTAGCATAATAATTTTATTTCATTAGCCAACATGTAAAAAGAACAAAATAAATCTAACCTCTCTTAAGTGCTCTTAAATAGCATTTCAATATATTATAAATTACACATTTTATAATATTTAAAACTTTTTTCTTTTTTCTGAGGCGCCCCCTGGTGGTCCTCAGCCCCCACTTAAAAAACACTGTTCTAAATAATGCACATCATTTTGATTGCCCACCTTCATCCACATCATAACACCCTTTTGGCTCGTTTAAACCCACCTCAGCAGCCACCTCCATGCTTATAATTTAATCTACGGAGGTTCACTTTAAAAATGCAGACGGGCAGATTCACTGATCAGCTGTGTTGTTTGTAGACCTGAACATTTGCCTCAGATGTTTGTTTTTCTTTGTCCCAGAGCTCCCGTGCAGGTGTCAAAATTCAGCTCTCGTTTTCTTGAGACATGCTGAAGGATGATAAAACTTAGATGTGTTGGAGATGCCAGTGTCAACTCTAAAAGTTGGCCACACAAATACTGGAACATGTTTAAAGTGACAAATATGCAGATTTTTTTTATTTTTTTTGCAACAGATGCGTAGAAATAGAGAATCTCTTTGAACATTTTGAAAAAAAAAAGCCTGTTTTGTTTGGGTCTTATTAGTTAATATAGGCTGCAGTGACATGACTAAAAAACTCTTCTATTCTTACAGAATAGTTAATGTGGATTTTTTTTAATGGTGGCGGTTCATAAAAAAAGGACTTTATTTGATTTTCCAGGTGTCAAAAGATGTCCGAAGTGACATAGAAAGCAGCTCAGATGAAGAGCTTTCCACCAGCAGCAGTAAAAAATGTCCCACCCCCATAGTGAAGGACAACAATCACACCAGTGGTCTGAATGGAGGAACTTACAACCACTGAGTGGGAATCATTTCTGTCTGTGAAGCTCTGTCTCTTGAATATTGTTGCCTGTCACATTCACCTTATTTCTGTGACTCTATACTTGGTTTTGTTTAGTTTTTTACACATTGTTGAATGATCTAGCACACAGACAAAACTTTCCTTTACTGATGGGAATGTACATTTTTTGTTATTTGATGTTTATTTTCACAAGTTGACAGAGCGTGTGCGTGTGTGATTGCAGAACTTCATACTGCACGTGTGTAAGATACTGTAAAATAAATCACGTCTGATTTATTTATTTAATTATTCCCAAAGATGCTGCTTTGTAATTCCAAATGCTGAACAGCCCAAAGATCTCTTATCGAGCAGAAATGCTTTGAATCAAGTTGTGCAGGAATTTGTTTTTTCTGTGTAATAAAAGACTTTGCAACAAACTGTATTTCTTGGGGATTTATTTGGCATTCACATTCCCAGTTTCTCAATTAAACTTAATATTTTGTTCAGGAACCATAGACCGAAATTGACTTCAAAATCTAGAAAGAGCATTGGTGTGCATAAATATCCGATTATAGTTAGATGCTACATCCGGACCACTTGGAAAACACTTCTCATGTTGTTAAAAACAGCTTGGACCTGAAAGGAAACTTCTGGGTGTTTTTTCTTACAGGATCATTTGGGTTTTGATCTGCATGGTTACAAACTAACTGATGGTGTGGGAAAGTTGCTGCACCCTGACAAAAAGAGACTGGATTTGTGCTGTTTTTGCTACTCCTCTACAGTTTTTTGCTGGTTTTTGCAAGGCGAGTTTATTTATCATCAGTATCGTATGTTATCACACTCCTCCAGCATTTCAAAGACGTCCTCGCTGAAGTCGTTGTATTTCAGACTGAAAGAAAAATAGAAAAACAGAAATTAGGTCATTGCTGAAGAAGTAACAGCATCAATACAGTTTAGAATTAAAAGCCTAGCTTGCTTGAAGGAGTCTGTTGCATTTTGTGAAAAGGTTTTACTTTAAGATCGTCTTGTGATGAGAAGGAAGGAAGTTATAGTTTTGTTAAAATCCTATAAATGACATGCATGAGCTCATGAGAGATTTTGAGATGTGTCAGCCCACTGGCTCCCAAAGTGTGTGGGGGGTTGCAGTGTGACTGAATAAAAAAAAAGGATGCTTGGGTGCTGCTAGCATAACAGTCAGGTCTTTGACAGGGCTTCCACAAATACAAAAAAATTAGCATTGAAGGTGGTATTTTTTTAATCTTTTTTTCTCCATGCTTTTAAAGCAATTTTGCATAGAGGGACATTTTTTTAAATTTATTGCTAGATGATTTATATAGTCACATAAAAAAAGTTTAACTGGAATGATGACACTGTTAAGGTGGTTTGTTGCTTTAGTTAGAAGAGGTTGGAGTTTATTTTTTTATTGCAATCTATAATTTGTCAGTTTATTAGTTCAATTGTTCAAAAATGGTTGAGGTGTGAAAAAAATTGCAATGGAGTCTGAAAAAAACTAAATCATTTTTCATATAAACTAAAAGGGGGCCCAGCAGAAATAGTTTGGGAACCAATGTGTTAGCCTGAATGATGCCCAGCTACTACCACACCAAATGTTATCCAAAGGTCCATAAAACTGACAGATTGTATATATACATACATACATACTTTCTGGAAGTGTCATTAAAACCCATCCAGTGGTTTACAAGATATTTTGCTAAAAACCAAACCTTCACCTTCTGAGTGAATCAGGCTTGAATGCAGATATGTACATGTATATATATAGCTATATGCTCATGTGTGCATACTGTATATGTATGTTCTGATCAAAATCTTAAGACCAGTCAAAGTGCAAGAATTTGCATTTTGCACTATTGGATCTTAAGAAGGTTCTATGTAGAGCTTCACAATGTTAAAAGAAGAAATCAGTGCAAGAGACAAGAACTTTTGAGCAGGGAACTGTCTGAAAACTGCATTTACACTCAAACATGATTTTTTTTCAGCTGATCAAAAGTTTAAGACCATAGCTCAAAAAAACTCGAAAACCCCCCAAAACAGAAATCAAAGTGTCAAAAAAGGACTCAGTAATGAGTAGCTCCACCATCCTTGTTGATGACTTC